TCTCCATAAAACCCCAAAGGGACAGAGCTTGAAGAGTTTCCAGATAGCAAAATGCACAGAAGTTCCTGGAGGGTGGCACAGCAGGGGAGGGCATGGAAGCTCCACGCCCCTTCCCATGTGCCCTGCCCCATGCATCTTTTCATCTGTATCCTTTGTAATAAACCAATAAACGCAAATAATTGTTCCCCTGAGTTCTGTGAGCCACTCTAGAGAAACAGCCAAGCCCGATGAGGGGCTTGTTGGAGCCATGAGAACCCAAATTTATAGCTGTTCAGACAGAAGCATAGGAGCTTCTGTCCTATGTGACTGGCATCTCAGGTAGGGGGCAGTCTTGGGGACTCGGCCTTCAACATGCAGGATCTGATACTATCTTCAGGTAGGTACCCTCAGAATTGAATGACAGGACACCCCACTGATGTCAGCTACAGAGCTGGTGTGTGGAGAAGACTCCTCAAACATCTGGGCGCAGAAGTATTCTATGCTTTGTGGGAACAAAGGAAAAATAATTTTTGTTTTTTCTACACACTATCTTCTCTTCTCCAGAGTCAAACGCTTATATTTAGGGATAGAGGCCTTCCTCTTCTGCTCTTACATTCCACAGTAAAAGATAAGCACTTTCTTTTCAGAGGGGAAGAGTAAGTGTGTCAGCTCCTATATAAACTCGGATATTAATAATGTTGAAGTTCTCCTTCAAACCTTGCTATGTATAGGAATAAGCATCTGACTCTTGCCTTGTCATTCTGCAGAGAACTAGCTATGAAGATAGCACTACCATGCTACTCTGGCTGCTGTTATTGCTGTAAGGTCAGTTCTCTAATTCAGAGGTCTTCTATGTGTGTATAACATATATATATATATATATATATATATATAAAAAACACAGACACACAAGTAGGGTAACAACTCAGACTCTTCAGAGTTTTGGACTTAACACCCCCTCTCCTATGTAAAAAGTATTATGCTATGCCCTAACCATTTGATGTATTTCACTTACTATATCCTGCAAAATCAATGCGAGAAAATTTTAATAGACTGGCAAGTCACTATATTTTAAATCAATGATGTTTCAGCAATATTGTAAATATCCTACCAAAAAAGGTACATAATTGACAATAATGGTCCAAAAATATATGTTTCAAATATTAACAATTAGTATAAACATAATCCTAAGTTTATACTTGTTATTCTATCTCAGATTTCACTAACTTAATTTTTTCTTCAATTCCATATTCTGAAAATAACAAATTATCTAAAACGTTGATCTTTTCTGTTGACGAAGTAGCAAAGTTCAAGTATAACTGTAGGTCACTGGTCCAGAGTAAAACATTCTAAATAAGGAACAATTCAAATGCTTTGGGATAAAAGTAATAGCATGGGTTATACATTTTTAAAAAGCAAGGCAAATAAAGTAACACATATTCTGTAATGCAAGCTTTTAGTTCATAAACAAGTATTTTGAGAAAAATCCAAACATCTGTAAATATTTCTTATTATTAGGCTAAGTAGTGGATTTAGATAAAAAATAATGGAATAGTTAAAATTAATATATTTTCATATGTATGTCAATGAATTTTTGTAAATGGAGGCAATCCCAGGAAATTTTGACTTGCCTGTTTACTGACTAATAAAATGTAAATGTAGAATTATATATGATATATATATACAGCTCTTACGTACATATTTAATAGTAGATAAGAGTATCTTAGAAAAAAGGGAAGAATATACACAGAAAAAATTGCTTAGTAATAAGTTACAGTAATAATATCCTTAATATAAGAGAAATACTATTTTGCTTATTATTAATAAGTATAATAGTTGTAACTAGTTCATTTTTCAATTTATAATAGAAATCCATAAGATTGAAAGACACAAAATTAGTATGCAGAAATCAATCTTTCACATACTGGTATAGATATTATACCAAGGTATATATATGTGTGTATTTATATATAATACCTATTATTATAATACCTATTATATAAATTATTACATAATACATATTACATAAATTATGCATAATACCTATATAATATATAATATGTATTATAATTATATAGAATAGATATTAATAATTACTATAATTATATAAATACCTATTCTATATAATTATGTATAACATCTATTCTACATATTTATATATACCTATTCTACATATTTATATATAATACCTATATGTATTTATATATAATACCTACTACATATATTTATATATATCTATTATATATTATATATAAAATACCTATATATGTATTTGTGTGTATATACATATATATAATACCTAGGTATATATATGTGTATATATATTATACCTCTTATATAACAGATAAAGGTTTGACAGGTATAGCCTTGGAATATTGCATACGATCAGGCCTGAAAGATCACATAAGGATGTTGGCCTAGAGCTGGACTCCTCACTTTTCAGTGGCTACCCAAAAGCCTAAGCTTATACAAAGGGAAAACAAAAATTCCCTTCCTCTGACCCCATGTCTACTCTTCTACTCTTATCTCCTGCTTCACATTTTATACTCTGGTAAAACCACCACCTTCTCCCAACTACTTCTAACCTCTATGACAAGCTTGTCCAACCTGTGGTGGCTCATGGGCCACATGCAGCCCAGTACAGCTTTGAATATGGGCCAACACAAATTTGTAAACTTTCTTTAAACATTATGAGATGTTTTTGCAAATATTTTTAAGCTTGTCGGCTATCATTAGTGTATTTTATGTGCGGACCAAGACAATTCTTCTTCCAATGCAGCCCAGGGAAGCCAAAAAAAAGATTGAACATGGCTGCTCTATGCCTTTGTCACAAAGTTCCTCTTGCTTTTCCCATCTTCCCCTTTTTCACCAAGTACTTATCCTTTAACACTCATCCCAACTGCCACTTCCTTCAGGAAGCCCACCTAATAAATATCCACCCTCATTCTAGACATGAGTAACTATTCCCTTCTCTGTGGATCCATTAGCCCTTATGCATACATACTTCTACTATGTTCCTTACTTATCACATATTAATAATAGATCCTGTTTCTGTATCTGTCTGTGCAACACTAAATTCCTAGAGAACAGAAGCCATATCCTATTCTGTTTTTTATAGCCAATGTCTAACAAGTGTCTGGCACACAGCAGGAACATGGGGAATAATCTATTTGTGGATTTCAAGTTCTATAAATCAGCATTAGTACAGCACTTAGAAAAGGACACTACTAAAGGAGGATTGAATGAGCTGAGCCTCATGGGGTAACCAGTTTAGATAACACAGTCCTCAGTGCTGACAGCCTCTCCATATCTAGCGCCAGCTGTTTCAAAACCACCTTGTCATCAAGTTGTTCAATGTGGATATGCCACTCCAGGATTTGGTGTCAAATGTGGATTCATACTTTATGAAAAGACTTTTTTTTCTGTTTCTTCACCCTCATTTCTGGGTCATCAGGTATCCACTGGAAAAACAGCTGCTAACTAGTAAGCTTCCTGAGAACAAATGTCATATCTATTACTTGGACTTCTTGCTAAGCTTCATAGAACCCCCACCATCAAGATGGCTACACCTCTGTCCCAGGAAACGGATTCCAAGGAATTCCTTCCTCAAAAGACCATCTTCACTCATTACAATTGGTTCCTTAGTCTATAAATATCAGGGCCCATGGTTGTCAGGAATTTCTAAAGGCCTTTTGTTAACATATTATTGGGACTGGAACATTTGTAAAGTGATAAGCACAACTTTTCACCTGTAAGTTTTGAATTTCCAGGAGTTAAACTACCAATTTTTGTAGGTAAGAGAGGAAGAGGAGACCCAAGGAGAAAAAGATCGTCAATGTCAGCAAAGGTCTTAGTGGACAACAGGCTTATAACATTAAATTGGAAAAGTCCATGTAAACCTGTGTCCTTAACAAGTTATATTTTCTAGCTCTGTTACGGAAGAGAATATCAGACTTAATTCAGGGAGAGATTCCAAGAATAGTCCCCAGATAGACCTAAATACCAGGCATGGAGATTCCAGGCCAGAAAACTTAAACTTTCTCTCTCAGTAAACACTGAGGTATGTGCTGGGACAAACTCTTTCCATACTAACTGGGCAGGCACAGAGCTAGAGAATCCAGAAAGAAATCCAGCTGGGATAAGAAGAAAGCCAGGTACTTAAAAAATCCCCATGAGAATAACGAAGATGAGTGGCACATGCCTATGGTCCCAGCTACTCGGGAGGCTGAGGTGGGAGGATCACTTGAGCCTGGGAGGTGGAGGTTGCAGTAAGCCAAGATCATGCCACTGCACTCCAGCCTGGGTGACAGAATAAGACTCCATCTCAAAATAAAAAAAAATTTAAAAAAACAAAAAACAAAGATGAGGTTCCTACCTGGTACTATGGTCTAAATGTTTGTGTCTCCCCAAAATTCATATGTTGAAATTCTAAATGCCAATATGATGATATTAGGAGGTCATAAGGGCAGAGCCTAATGACCTCATTCAAGGGCAGAGCCTAATGAATGAGATTAGTGCCCTAAAAAAAGAGACCCCGAGAGAGCTCCTTTATCCTTTCATCATGTGAGGACACAGGGAAAAGATGACCAGCTACAAACTAGGGGCCCTGACCCAACACCAAATCTGCCAGTACTTTGATCTTGGACCTCCCAGATTCCAGAACTGTGAAAACAAGTTTCTGTTGTTTATAAGCCACCCAGTCTATGGTATTCTGTTATAGCAGCCTGAACAGACTAAGATATCTGGCAAAATCCTCACTCCACCAGTTGGACCTCACTTGATATGGCTTTGTTGAGTCATCTCCTACTCTTACAAAAGTATCTCCATGTTTCTGTATACCCTGCCATTAAAAAAAATTTTAGATCCTTGATGTGGGAAGATAGATTAGTAATTTGTGTTAAATTGTTGCCTACAAATACAATGTTAAAACCCTGAAATATTTTAATGAATTGTGGTTATTTAAAATGAAATCAATAAATAAGTAACAAGTAAACAAATGAATAGGTAGCCCCTGTACTTACAAGAGAACATGGGCGACAATAGCATTCACATCAAACAAGGTGTCAGTAGGGAATTCTCTAAGCAGTATGTTGCCCCTATAAAAAGTTTTAAAACACAGTAATATTTAAAAACACAACAATATTTCCTTAGAATTCAATTTACTTGTCTATCAAATACATTAGCTTATAAGGTCTTTGATGTTACAGCCTGTGTCTTATCCACATACCTACCAGAGTCCTGGCACATAATACAACGTTCTCAAAAAATACATTAACTTTGAAAAGCCTAGGCTCTGGACCTGGCAAAAAGGCTAGAAAAAAATATGAGTCCAAACAAGGATTCCTACCAATCTCTCCAACTCACAATCAACACGCACACACACATAAATTCCCCAAATTAGGCTGGGATGAAAGCAAGAAGGAAAAAAGTGTCCTCAGGGGGTCCCTGAGAAAACAGGACCTCTCCCCACTTCTTCAGCCAAATCCCAAGGATTTGAGAAACCTCAGGTAGATCAAACCTAAGTGCAGAGAGATTGGCAGATCTCTCAAAAATAAAGTACATTTATTTCACACACCCAAACGTGGACCTGACATATCTATCCAGAACACTAAATTTGGTAAGCACTTGCTTACCAGGCATTTGTTGTAGGAGTTTACACAAGAGCCTCACAAAACTACCTTGTGAGGTAGGTATTACTCTCTGTTTTATAAATAAGGAAGTTAAAGTACAGAGAGGTTAGGTAACAAATCTATCACTTGGACTTTTGGTTAAGCTTTACATGATCCCCACTACATATAACTTTATTCTAGCTCAGTGATATTTTACATATTTAAATATTCTAGAAGTATAGCTTTATATTTGTCCAGCACACTCAGGAAAATAGCTTACTTGAATAAATATGCTTTCATCAGATCCTTTTCTTTTCCACAGTATCTTGATATTTCTTCTTTGACACAATTAACCTTTAAAAGAATATACTTAAGTTTTAGCATATATATCAAAAGGTCAAGTTTCTTGGTTGGAAAAACAAGAAGGAGAATTAAACACTACAGCTTGTTTCAGGTCAAATTTTGTACTTTACTTTTTTTTTCTCATTTGTATACTATAATTGTTCACATATTCAAGTGCATGAGATAACCCAGAGAAAGGCACTATTTCTGAATTCAGTCTCATGGAACAAGTAGGTGGCAACCAGGTAGAAAAGGAAGGACACATTTAAGGCAAGACAAAAAGTATGAGCAAAAGCCAGGAAGCACAAAAGTGAGTGCTAACTTGGGATGATGAAAGCATCTCAGCAGGTGGAACACAGAGGTAGCACATACTGCTGGGTTCCCACCCAAAATCCATCCTTCCCTTTTGTTTACTAACAGAACTTTGCTGAAAGCAAGTGTTTCATTAACAGGCTTTCCCAGCCTCCCCAACAGCCTGCAATGGCTAAATGGTATTAGGAAGAGTCACTGGGTTGGAACTCCTAAAAGGCTCTTAAAAGTGGGCTGATACTTTTGCTCTTTTCCCTCCTTCTTGACCAAAAATAGATAAGATAGCTGGAGTACCAACAGCAATCATGGACCATAAGGCATCTTTAAAGAAGCTACTTGCTAAGGATGGCGCAACAGAAAGAATGAACTAAGTCAATGATGATGTCAGAGCAGCAATACCAGTCCTGGATAGCTTATAATCTGAACTCTAAGTGAAAAAAATACATAACAACAATCTTGGCAACAACGTGAAGATAAACAGAAGGCAAAAGAACACAAATACAAGGAGAGTTTAAAATAGTATCACATTAGTATAGGTCAAGGATGACTTGGACCAGAAGTAAAGCCAAAAAGGACAGAAGACATTCAAAAGGCTTTTTACAAATACAATACATAAAACTAGGGAGAAGACTGAGCATGTACATGCAGATTGGGATAGAGGAGGAGAGGAAAGAGGAAGAAAAGAGCGAAGGGGTTTCTAGATGGGGCAAATGGGTAGCCACCAAGGTTAACTAACCAAAACTAAGACTAGAAGAATAGTTATTTTGTTTCGCATTTGGTAAGGTTTTTGTTTCTTTTAAGAGGGGGTTTTCCTGTTGTTCAATTTAATTTTAATAGGATTTGAGGAAGAAGAATAACAACTGGAGAAGTAACATTTGTTTAAAAAGGTACAAAACAGGAACCGACACTAAAAAATTAGAAATAGAGAATCAGAATTAAAGTCAGAGTATAGCCATAACCAAAAAGTAAATTTTAATATATGTAATTTAAAATTTTTTTAAGTTACAGCATAAGGATGGTTGGTATTATGACAATAGATGTGTCCATTCATTCATCAATTCAAAATATATTTGAATGTCTACCATGTCAGTCACTGTTCTAGTCATTTAGGGTACAGGTAAGTTCCAAATAAAAATATTTAGCTTTAGAACAATATAAAACAGAGATAACTTAAAAACTAATTAATATGTAGTGTTAAGTGCTATAAATAAAAAAAAATTACAAGGGGATAGTATGTGATAGGGCATTTTAGAGAGGAAATCAAGGAAGGCTTCTCTGAAAAGGTGACATTTGCACAAAGAACTGAAGAAATGGAGTAATGCATACAAATACACAAGTAAGTAAAAGAGATGAGTTCTAAGCAGAGGGGAAAATATCTGCAAAGGCCCTGTGGTAACAGTACCTCCAGCAGGTTCAACTAACAGAAAGATGACCACTATGTAATAAGAACGAACTGAACAAAGTGGTGGGTCAGAAAATGAGATCGGCGACAAAGCCAGTGTCCACCATACTCAAAAGTTTCTATTTGATCATAATTGCAATGAAAGGACTTTCGCAGCATGGTAGTGATGTATCCTGACACATCTGGCTACATATGGAGAAAAGTCTGTCACGGGACAAAGTGAAGGAAGAAAGGCCAATTATTAGGAGGCTGTTGTGGTTTCCCCAATGAGAAGAGATGGCAGGAAGAAGTAAAAATGAAGGTACAGGAAGTGGTCAGATTTGAAAAGTTCTCATAGTAGAACCAAGTAGTAGATGGATTACTTATCAGAGAAAAATCAAGGATGACAGAGCTTTTTGTTTAAAATCTACTTTGATACACTAGATTTCTTTTGGTTATCACTTGTATAATATATCTTTTTTTTCCCCTTCATTTACTTTGAAGATTTCTGAAGCCTTTATTTTGGATGCATTTCTAAATAGCAATGGTTAGGGAAACAAGAAGGAGAATTAAACACTACAGCTTGTTTCAGGTCAAATTTTGTACTTTACATTTTTTTCTGATTTGTGTGCTATAATTGTTCACATATTCAAGTGCATGAGATAACCCAGAGAAAGGCACTATTTCTGAATTCAATCTTACGGAACAAGTAGGTGGTAACCAGGTAGAAAAGGAAGGACACATTTAGGCAAGACACACAGCTCTAAATAGCATACAGCTTTCTTGGGTTATTGTATCCAGCTTGACATTCATTGTCTTGACTAGAATATGTAGTCCATTTATATTTTAGCATATTCTTCATCCTACCTCTTGCAATCTTAACTTCTGAAAACAATCTTAAATGCTGCTTTTTGTGAAATCTTTCCCAATACCATCTGTGACTTTCCACCTCAAAAATCAAATATGGGCTTTCTTCCCTTTAAACTTCAATAGGCTAGGCACGGTGGCTCACGCCTGTAATCCCAGCACTTTGGGAGGCTGAGGCAGGAAGATCACCTGAAGTCAGAAGTTCGAGACCAGCCTGACCAATATGGTGAAACCCCATTTCTACTAAAACTACAAAAATTAGCCAGGCATGGTGGCATGTGCCTGTAATCCCAACTACTCGGGAAGCTGAGACAGGTGAATTGCTTGAACCCAGGAGGAGGAGGTTGTAGTGAGCCAAGATCGCACCACTGTACTCCAGCCTGGGTGACAGAGCGAGACTCCGTCTCAAAAAACAGAAAAAAAAACTTCTATGGCACTTTATTTGTATCTCTCCTATTACAATGATCATAGTTATTCTATTTAATAACTAGCATTCTATTCCAGTTACTATATGCATAGTTATTTAGTGACAGTCTACCAACTAAACAGTATGATTATCCCTGTTGAGTTTCCTACCAACCTACTGCTTCATTTCTAAGTTTCAATTTAAAATTTTATTCAGAGATCCTTGGAGATGATTGCCATTATCACTCTACAGTGAAATCAGTTGTTCAAAGTTAATTGAGATCTCTACACATACAGAATTGCCACATTTAAAAAATAGGTACTTTTTAAGGTATACAGCCAATGTTGGTTAACGTTTCTGTGCTGTCTGCCCTGGGAACTCTAGCTGCAGAGACCAAGAGTGACAATAGCCATCTCTTAGAAGAGGAAGGCTAATGAACTAAGAAAAAATGTACTCAGAAAGTCAGGTAGACATTAACCTGAAAGAATTTAGTATCACTGGGTTACCTCTCATTCAGGTGTCTGATGTATAAATTCTAAGTTTAAATTAAATAAAAGGCTTACGTATCTATGTAATCCATGATGCATGTGGAAATTTTCTATAATACTCTATAGCAAGTTTGAACATTTTTTGAGAAAACAATTAAATATGTAATGTTGAGTTGTTATAACTTTGTTCTAAAAATAAATGCGAAAAAGTGAAACACAAACCATTATAAAGAGTTATAAGAATAGAAAAAAAACTATCCAATTACCTCCATTTTAAATGTTACTGCAGTTTGTGTAATAAAAATTTAAAAACAGTTGAATTTTGGCTACCTATTACGAAATATTCTTTAGGCAAAACAAAACAGAACAAAAACCTAACTATAGGTTTGAGAAATGATACCACAGGCCCAATAGAATGGTTTACAACATAAAGTTAAATTCTAAGCTAAAAATTTTTAAACAGCTTTTTGTCCCCTCTATATGTAGTATATTATACAATAATCTGAAACTATTATTCTGTGCTGCTGTTTATTCTTCTGGAAAAAATATATTTCCACTTTGGAAAAAGATATGAAACGGAAGTATTTTAAGATATTCAGTCTTAAGCCATAAAGTTGTAAGATGTTTGTCACTAATATTTTAGTAACATAAATATCTTTCTACCTTGGCAACTGAAATTCCATAGTCCTGCAATGGTCTAACAGCCTCATTCAGTTCTTCAAGAAACACAGATGTTCTTGGGGAATCTAAAATAATAAATGTTTCATGAATGTTTATGAATTGCCCCTTAAAAATGAATTTTAAAATCTGCAAACACGGAATAATTTGTCCAACTAGCATACAACAATAATTAATTAAACATATCTCATTACATATTCTCACACCCTTATTCTACTATTGCCTCATTATTCTTACTTCTAATGTTTTTATCATGATGTATTTTAACTTTGTAAATGGACCTTAAACACTTACTAAAACAAGAATATGATGTTTCATTTGAACCTAACATTTGGCATTTTTCCTCCAAATTTAATACCATATACCCAACACACATGTACACATATAAAAACTTTCCAAATGATTTTAAAATACCATTTTCGAATCACAATTATAATAAGGGAGCCAACAGAAACGTGTACTCACTTCACTTATTAATTCCAAGAATAGTATTTTTAAGACATGAAGACTTGAATTGGACTATCAAAAAATTGTTATGTTCAATAGTTATATTAGTTAATTCAGTACAATTAACAATACAGCTAAAGCAGGGTATTAAAGTATTACATTTAAAGTTTTTAAAAACTTAAAACACATGCTAAAAACATGAGAAAGTATTCTTTCAGATGTTATGTTAGTAGCTAATTCTTACCTTGTATTTACTATGAACTAAGCATATAAGTAAAATCATTTAATCCTCACAACAAACTTATAAAGTACTGTTTCTTGTGAACAGATGATGAAAGAAAAACACAGAGAAGCTAAGTGACTTAACCAAGGTCACACGACAGGCCAAGTGGCAGGAGCCGGATTCAAATCCAGTCAGGATTATAGTAACAGCTGTATAGCACATATTATTAATCTTAACAGTAATCTCCCACTGTGCTTATTGATTAAATAGCAATTAAAAACATCACAAGAATCATATTAGAATTTTAAAAATACTTACCAGCTTGACAAAAATAAGCTAAAGAGGCTTTTCCTGGTTGCAATGTACTAAAATATTTCTGAGGACTCAGTTCTAGTAAAGAGTCTACTGTTGGCATGTAAAAACTGCACATTATGACAAAAGAGATCCCAACTCTAAAGACACTGAAGCCAGAAGACATCATGAGCTGCAGCTGCATATGAGTGGAAGATTTTTGACTGCTTTTTCACTGCTGTGTTCTGTTTCCTAAGACAACACCTGGCACAGAGAAGGTATTCAATGAGGGTTTGTTGAACAAATTTGTTAAATGAATGAATGGAATAAAATCTGCAAAAAGAAAGTTGTCATTAGTCACATCATTTGATTTTGCTAGTACCTTATCGTAAAAATTTGAGGGGGGACAATATGTAACAACACTGACTTGATAATATTATTGATTTTTGATACTTACAAAAGATACCAAAGCTATCTAGAAAATGCTTAATTTAGTAGAGTATTTAGTTAAGCTAATTGTCATTTTCAAGGGTTCTAAAATTAATTCTCAAACATTAATCAATCCATTTTTAATTGGGCATTTTGTTTTTATCTATAGTTGATTATGAGAAATAATCAAGTAATTATTTAATACCATTTAGATGGGAGTCAGACATCCAAAATATGCCTAATATGTTTACTTTTACTTTAAATCCCATAGAAGAAACCTATTAAAACAACGGAAGAACATTCCTTCCAAATATACATAATTTGTAATGCCTAACCCTTAGATTTCTTTATACTGCTTAAAAATTTAAATATCTTTTTCAACTCATACTTTAATTCAACTCTATGTTCTGAAATCAAATTTGTTCTAGACATCTTCCTCTTATCTTCTTTCTTGGTGTACTTACTTCCATGCTGTCCTCTGTATCTGCTGTTAATTCTCTTTGTTTTCTATTTTGTTACTTTCAAATTTTTCTTGAACAACTTCAGGAAGTTTTCTACTGATGATCTATGTTATCTACATTTAAAAGAAGAAAGTTTAGAAAGAATAGTATAATATAAAAACAGCCACAGCTATAGGTGAAAATTTTGTGTTAGAATTTTTAAAATTTCAAACAGGACCCATCTCTTTCAAATGTAAGCTCACTATCTCAAAATAGGCAATAGGAAAAAACAGCAAAAGATTATTTCTATATGCTCCCAAAGATAGAATTTTTCAGCAAAGAAAAAAAGATAAAGAATTTGAAATGTATGAAAAATCATATTCAATTGAGTATTTCCTCTGCTCATTCAATATTATCAATAAGCATATAGTATCTCTCCCTAATAAGCCGGTGTTCCTCAAAAAAAAAAAAAATGAAGCAATTACTCATTGGTTATTTCCTAATAATTCTGTTCATCAGAGATAGTACATATCAGTGAAAAAATTTGCCATCAATTTTTAATGAGTCAAGAGTTCAAAAACTCAAAGGAAAATGACAAGCAAGAACTATAAGAGGTATATAAAAATGTAACTTTAATGACATAATTAAGGAATATCATTGCCATTAAAATTGATTATACATTATAACCATTTTAAACCAGCCTATTTTAAAGATACTTTATATTAATAGGGATGTTTTAAAATAGGTCATCCACTATTTTCTTCATATTCTGGAGAAAATGAAGGCATTTGTGAGGCTAAGGGAATAACTATATAACGTTCATTACTGTGTATGAAATAACTATAACCTAATTAAACTGTACAACACGAAAAGCACAGGTGAAAGATTTGAGTATAGAATATCATCTTACCTGGCCTCTAGGTTATAATTTAACTATTTTAACACTAAATTGGACACTAGTGTTAACACATTACTCTTTTCCCCTAGAATGTATTTTGTAGCACAAAAGGTCTAACCAGACAGCCAATGCTTAAATATTTTCCCGTATTTTCTATCTCGTTGGACAAACCAGATTATATATGTGAAAGTACTGTGCTTTTAATCAGTTAGAGACATTGGTGATTGTTCTAACATACGTTTAGAGTTAGGAACTCAGTAGTAATCTCTGTAGTTTGCTCCATCTATGGTAAGATTTGATTATTTTAAAAATTACTTAAAGCAAAGAATACCACATGGGTCAGCTAGAAGTAGAATTTATGTCTTCATAATGAAATAAATACTGAATAATGATTTAAGCAAAACCATAACAACTGTTGAGAGAGAGGGAAGATAGAAAATAAGGAAACATGCAGCTAGGGTGGGAAAACAAATGAAAAGAGAACTAAATTTTCAACTTTCACAAAACCAAAACCAAGTTTATTGAAAATAGGAAGGTCAATGCCAAAACAAACAGTGAGCAGTTAAAAGTAATTGGTTCTAAGGAAGAAGAAATGGAGGCAAGGGAGTTGGGGAAGGATATCTACCTTGTAGGGCCATGGAAGAGTAGACATTTCACATGCATGCAAAATAAAACGCATTTACTCAGAGACATGCAGTCCTTATATAAAGATCTTAACTAAAGGCAAGAGGATGTGGGTGGAGAAAGAGAGTATCAGCAAGAGCACAGTGAAAACAAAGATACAAAAGGTACTCAGTGACTTTTTTTTTTTTTTAACCTCCAGTAATTAGAAAAGGGAATGAAAAACAATACTTGGCCAGCCACAGTGGCTCATGCTTATAATCCCAGCGCTTTGGGAGGCCGAGGCAGGAAGATCACTTGAGCCCGGGAATTTAAGAGTAGCCTAGACAACATAAGAGACCCTGTCTCTATTAAAAGTAAGAAAAAAAAATTTGTCATGCATGGTGGCACACACCTGTAGTCCCAGCTACTCGGGAAGCTAAGATGGGAGGATCGTGATTGAGGCTGCAGTGAGCCATGATCACGCCACTGCACCCCAGCCTGGGTGAAAGAGGAAGATCCTGTCTAAAAAAACAAAACAACAACAACAACAACAACAATTAATACCACAAAAATCTAGGTATCAAAACCAAGTGATGAGTACCTTTGGAGAAATGTGGCCGTATTATCTTGGTGTGACAGTCCATTAGTATAGTTCTAGTTCTCCTTGCAGTTACTGATTACACTGAAGCTCCCTCCATCCCCCACCTCTGGGGAAGTTAGTTAAGACCACCAGATGACTTACTGTGGCCAAGAAAATGTGAGCAAAAGTGACATCTGTCTCTTTTGGGCAACAGTTTCGGCAGGTAGTGTTAATAAGGCCAGGCTTTACTGTCTTCTGTTGCAGTCAAGAGAAATGCCCGAATGGTGCCTATTCTATGAGCATAAGCATAACAGAGAACTCCTAGCTAATGTGTAATAAGCATGTGACAGAGGAAGAAATAAACCTTGTTGTTTTGTCACTGAGATGGCAGGGGCTATTATAGCAACATAAACTATTTTCTCTTAACCTGTATATAAACTAGAAGTGAGATGCCACCTTGACAAAGACTCCAAAACACTGGGTTAGGGGTCAAGCAGTATAGAAACTGTTCTAGGCCTACTCAAGGAAACATTTATCAGAGACTGGAGCTCAGCAAGTGACCCATATTAACAAGTTTGATAAAACTGTCACTACAATAGTTTGGAGGTGACATGTACCTGATTAACTTACAATGAATATGTACCTAGGTTCCTGTGGCTAATGAACTTATTTATAGCCCTAAAAGAAGAGGTTGGAAGATAGATTAGTACTGTGTGATGGTAGCTGTTGGTGGTGTTTAACCAGGTATTAAAAGAAAAATACTCAGAGAAGAACTGCCATCCAAAAGACTAGATGTTTAAGACTTAAAACAATTCTTAGGCGCCCACCGGAACATGGTCACAAAGCAAACTGACAAAACTGCTCAGACACAGAAAGAGGCCAAATGCTCCAAAGCCAATTTCAGATGTGGCCAAGAATAATAAAAATAGAAGAACCTCACACAGGGCAAAGCCAAGGACCACGGAGAACTATGCTGTAGGGCATGTGAAGAGTAAGAACGATTTGTTACTGGTCTAAAATAATGACATAAATACAGAAATGGAGTGTAAATGTTTAGGACATTTTATAGCAATTTCACACAGTAATTTTATGTTTATTGAATCTAGTAATTTTTAAATTGGGCTTGAAATTTGATATTCTTTATTTCATTTTTCCTGTAATTCATTTCTATTGTGTTAGATAGGAGTGTTGTTGTTGTTGTTTCAACTGGCACAGAGAACTCAGGGAACAGAACTAGAGCCCTAGCAACATTTGTCCAGAGAGATTTCAACTGTAGATTGCTACAATCTAGAATCTGGTGTGTGTTTTCCATTCTTCCTCTCTCCAAACAGGAACACTTATAGTTCTCTCTCCCAACACTGTCTTATGTATTCAACAGGGGCTGGCAGACAGATAACTTCTATCTAGACCAGTAAAGAGGTGACCACTGCTGGGCATTACTCAGGGATCCTGAACTTCAGGCTTCACATAGTGAAGATGGTAATTCTGAATTACCTCCACCAGGAAAAGCCAAGGAAGAACTACATGTACAAAGGAAAGCATTTGTTGACAAGAGAGAATGTTCAAATGTTTCTAGTTCTCTGCACGTTAAAATTATACCTCTCACTTCCTTGAGTTAGGTATGGCCATGACTTGGCCAATGAAATGTGCAAGGTGACATGTACTTCTGGAAGCTTTTAAGAGTCAGTATACGTGTGCAATGAATCACAACACACTTTCCCTCTGCCATGATCACTGATAACACTCAAAATTAGGCCTTCTCTGTCAGCCCAAGTCCCAGAAAGAGAACACCATGGGGAAAAGCTCCCAGCTGATCCAATATAAAATAAACTATTATGTGACAGTTACTACGGGACTGAATGAAGGGGGAACAAAGGCAGAAATGAAAATAAAGACAAAATAATCTGTTTTAAAGAAGGGGTCAGGAGGCTCCTTGCTTCTAGTGAATAAGGGCCTTGAGCTTCCACAACCCTTCATATTTACTGGGTAGCAAGAACAGGGAGCAGCAGGTAAAGGTTGGTCAGCTGCTTGATTTATCACAGGTTCACATGATTGCTAACAGGCTTCAGATGTTCCTGCAGATAATCACAAGAAGCACTGCGCCTGGGGCATGACTGGCCTCAGCCTTCTTCTGGGCGGCAGATGCAGTGTGTCAGTTTGCCAACAACCTGCTTCATGAGAACAGTTTGCTGTTCGCCTCCAGTGGTATACTGAGTTGGTTACAACCCCCATTCTTTCTACCTCCAACACTATTAGGCTGGACGTGGTGGCTCACACCTGTAATCCCAGCATTTTGGGAGGCTGAGACAGGTGGATTACCTGAGGTCAGGAGTTCAAGACCAGTCTGACCAACATAGTGAAACCCTACTAAAAAGTACAAAAGAATTAGCCAGGCTTGGTGTCAGGTGCCTGTAATCCCAGCTACTCAGGAGGCTGAGGCAGGAGAATCGCTTAAACCCAGGAAGGGGAGGTTGCCATAAGCCGAGATTGCACCATTGCACTCCAGCCTGGGCAACAAGAGTGAAACTCCATCTCAGGAAAAAAACAAAATAAACTATGATTTTAAACTCCTAATGTTTTGGGGTTGTTTCCACAGTATAACCCAGTCTAGCACTATTAATAGACCTAGTCTTAGTAATGGGTAAAAGGATTATGACTTGAACATAAGACGACTCTTTAAAATGCAATTTGACTATTATCACAACAGATGCCAATACTAAGAGACAGGAAAAGTCACAGGTAAATGTTTTCCATAGCATGTTTGCCAATACTACCAATATACCTCCCAACTACATGTAGACTTTGAGCCTTTGGGCTGGAAGAGGCCCTCAATTCTTCAGTACAATGGTCCTGCTAGCATGGATCAGAGTTGGCATGTAAGATGTAACTTTTGTCTCATCCCTAAAGAAGTATGTTTGCACAGCTCATTTAAATAATAGAAAGAATGAGTGACATGTAACTAAAGACTAATACAAGAGGGTAACCCCACTGTAAGAATGGCTCCGTGAGACAATAGTAGAAAAAGGGCTAAAGCATGCACATAAAATGTTAAAGGCGATAAAAGCGTGCTTTGTTCAGCAACCGAATGTTAAGCTCCAAAGGACATCAAGAAGGAAGTACTTCAAGAGAAAATGCTAGACTTCTTGTTAGTAAGGAGACAGTATAAGGATTTGCCTTTGTGTTCCTGAGGCAGGTAGAATAGGTGGTAGCCCTCGTTAGCCCCACCAATCCCATTTTGGTATAGGGTACCATATGCAATAGTAATTGACAAACAGTTCTGCTTTTTTTTTTTTTTTTGAGACAGTCTTGCTCTGTCACCCAGGCTGAAGTGTAGTGGTGCAATCTCCACTCACTGCAAGCTCCGCCTGCCCAGTTCACGCCATTCTCCGGTCTCAGCCTCCCGAGTAGCTTGGAGTATAAGCGCCCACCACCACGCCCTGTTAATTTTTTGTATTTTTAGTAGAGACAAGGTTTCACCGTGTTAGCCAGGGTGGTCTTGATCTCCTGACCTCATGATCTGCCCGCCTCGGCCTCCCAAAGTGCTGGGATTACAGGCGTGAGCCACCGTGCCCGACCCAAACAGTTCTGCTTTTAAATGGTTGAAAGACTACTATGCTAGGGTCATCTGTCCTCTCAGAACAACAATATTAAATCTTTATGCATTTGGACACATTTAAATTTTAGAATAACTGACACCAAGCTTTTCTAGGAAACCCTTGGTTAGTTCCCCCTTTATAGGCCTAATATTCCCTTATGATTAACCATAAAATTAATGGCTTTCCCTCTCAGAAAAGAAGGAAATTAACAACTATAACTATTAAATAAATTGTATCAACATCTGTGGCCATCATACTCAGGAAAAAGACACACTTCCTATTTTGCAACAAATGGAGCATATAATGCTTACAAAGTTCACGCCTAAGAACATTCTGTCTGAAGTCAGCTTGCTTAGTTTAATGCTGCTACTGGAGAACAGAACCTGCTCACTGAACCAGCCTCAAATAAAATGTTGATTAGATCTCAACACAGTTTATCATTTCAGATCCAAGGAGGCAATAAAAGGGGTCAACATCTCTCCCCTTTAGAGCCTTTTCAAAGCAGTTGGGAGAAAAATCCTCTACCTGCACCCCCACCCCACAACTCTATACACACACTCCCATCCTCCAAAAAAGAAGAAAGGAGGAGGCTATCCAGATTTGCTTTTACTGACACATGGCAGGTGGCAGGTAAGTCTCACAGACAAAGACCTAAAATTAGTATAGGTACCATCCAGATGTTTACTATCACTTTGAGCAGAGAATACAGGAGAAAAACACTTTTATAGTAAAAGTCTATTGATGACTTGAAATGTGCACATCAATGATTATGGAAGATGCAAATAGGCCATGGCAGAGAATATGCGGTGCCCTTGATTTTGACAAGTGCCTAAAACCACACAACTCTGATTTTATGCTTAAATGCTTAAGCACATTACTGCAATCAATTACATCACTGCTGTCATGAGCATCCTGTCTCCTATTTGAAGAGACTTGTGTCCTGCCCTAACCACATTCTCTAAAAACACATGAGATGAAGTTCTTACGTTCCAATAAACAAAATCCTGCTCCAAAGCACAGACGTTGGATTAGGCCTATTAACTTCTTAGAGCAAGCCGTACCCTCTCATACACTGCACTCTCTACCTGCTCAGCTGAACGTTTCATCTGAGGGATGTCTAGGTAACAGTGCCGGGCCTGTACATCTACTACTACAGTTTGTCAGCAAACCTCTAAGGAACTCGAACCACACTAGTATCTGGTACCTGGACAAACGACTATCCCAGACTCTACAAAATAGACTTTAAAGTTCCCTGTGGAATATTTAGCTAGGAAAAAAAGAGAGCACCACTCTTCTTGGGCAAAGCATACGACAAAGGCCAGCCTGGACAATACAGTGAAACCTCGTCTCTCCCAAAAAAAAAAAAAAAAAAAAAAAAAAAAGCCGGGCATGGTGGCGCCAGTACCTGTAGTCCCAGTTACTTGGGAGGCTGAGGTGGGAGGATTGCTTGTGCCCAGGAGGTGGAGGTTTGCAGTGAACTGTCTCTACAGCTTGGGTGACAGAGCGAGACCCTGCACGAAAAAAGAAAAACAAAAAAGCACAGGACAAAGGATGGTGAGGTAAGGAAAGCTGGGTCTTGGTTGCTCCAATAGACGTGGCAATGTCTTTCACAAGGATATTGAATTCGTAATGTGCTGTATATTCTAAAGAAAACAAATTATTTCCTCTTAATTTTGCACTACTTGCTAATTTTATTCCCAAATAGGAAAAAAAAAAATCAACAACTATGTGCCGGCCTAATATACATTAGTCTATGTGATTATTCCTCGCTTCTTTACAGCAGTAACATAGCATGTATTTTCTCTCTCAGCCTCAGGAATAGCGCCACCATCTACCATACACAGGTCCAAGGGCTTCAATACATGTGGAATTTAAACAGTACAGAATATTCTACTTCCTCTCCAGGCAATCATCAGACTTACAAGTCAGTTTCTGCCTTTTTCCCAAAACTGAAGCCCAGAGCATTTTCCCAAATTCTACGTTTGAAAGAACGAGCTTCCCCCTGCTCACAGATCGCTTCAACATCCATCTGACACTACTATTACTCCTCCTTAAGAGACATATCCCTTGGGAGGGAAGTGTCTTTCACTTAAGAGCTCCAGTTCTCCCCGTTGCCCCTTTCCATCCCCTTGACCCACAAAGGGCTCCGGTGTTTCCCGCCGTTCATACAGCTAAAACAGAAGGTAAAACGCCCTCAGGAGGCTCCAGGTGAGGCCCTTCAGTGCCCCAGAGGCGGGTGTCCTAAGTCAGACTCCGGAGCTCTGCAGTGCAGCCCTGGCTACAAAAAGCCGCTTCGTCTGAATCCCTGGGTCTGCAGGCAGAGCCCACAGCCTGAAGGACCGGCGCTGCCACCTACCTGCCCGGGACCTGCGGACGGGGACCTGGGCCGTTCCTGAGGCCGCGCGGCCAACAGTTCCCGCCGCCACGCGACGGAGTAGGAGGCAGAAGGCCGGGCCGTGCCAGACTAGCCGGGTAGCCTGGAATCACTTCGCCAACCTGCGAAGGCGTAGCACCGCTCCTTCCCAGCCTGCGGCCGCCACCGACTCGACAGAGTCGGCCTCCGGGACAAAAAACAACCTGCGAAGCTCCTCCTTCTCCTCGTGCTCCCTACGTGAGGCATTCTCTAACCAATGGGAAGCGCGGTGGGCGGAGCGAGAGTGACAGACGATTACAGAGTCCTCCCGCCGGCGCGAACGGGCGGTGCAGTAGCAGGTCCAATCAGCAGCGTGGGTGGGAAGTACAGGGGAGGGAGAAAGTAGGAAAATTAAGCCCCCAATCATATTTCGGGACCCTCGAGCGACGGGTACGGCGGCCCGTGGCCTTCCGAGCACGGCGCTCAGGGGGCGTGCCTGGCCGGGCCAATCGGCGCGAGCCCACAGTGCGGAGCGAGCGCCTCAAATGCTCGGGTTTCTCAGCTGATTGTCTCCAGCCGAGAGTTGTTTTTTGCAGCTACGGAGCCCAGCCGCAGCAGGAGGAGCCGAGACCCCCGAGGGGTGGGGGGAAAGAGGAGGCGGGGTCGGGGGGAGCCGCGGCTGCTCTGCGC